CTCAATACAGTTATTATAGTCTCTGAGAATGTCTTCATGTTTTCTTCGCCTGTTTATGATGACTCCCAATACGGTTAGTATAGTCTCTGAGAATGTCTTCATGTTTTCTTCGCCTGTTAATGATCAGAGAATGAATATTAAGAGACCCACCTTCTCTCTTGTTTCGGCTCATAAGCGAGACCAGAACCTGGTTCTGTGTAGTAAAGTAAGGTATCAAGTGGTAACAAAACACATTAGAAATATGAACGTGAATTAAATCTACCACTTTAAATAAGGTTTGATCAGCGGGAATTCTGTTTCATTTTAGTGCGGAATTACTGACAACGGACGGTATTCTTCGAAACCGATTTAAACGATCACTTTGGATAATAATTTGTTAGAGAGTCTTGCTTTATTTTAGTGAAGATCTACTAATAACAGACAGAATTCATTGAAACCGATCCCATCTAAAGGAAGTAGTTAACGAGAAAAAAGATAAAAATCTATTCAAATCTGTTTACATCAATGAAGAACACACACGCAGACTTTCGTGATTTATTTTGACTGAAAAATGTTTTTTGTTTTGTTTTATCAGGAATATCTATCGAGTGTACACTCGTTTTCTTGAAAAAAAAACATATTGTGTCTAATATCTTTTACACGAAAAACACCAGAAACGTGCTTTAGCGCGTGCTATCCTGTTGTGAGTGGGTGTTAACAACTTAAGTCAGCGATTTTTCACGTATCCGCTGTTTCATGAATAACTATGTTTAATAAGGAAGACCGTTTTACAGGGGCATTCGAACAGTTGAACATATTTTAAGATAGCGAGTAAGAAATCCAGGTATTAAAAAAACACATTAAAATAAGCCGAATTACTACTCTTAACTCTTAGCTTATTTTAATGTGTTTTTAAAGTAATTCGTTAAAGAATAGTTACAGTGGAAAAATAATCACTTAATGTCCTTAAAGAAAGGACAAAACTTTACGAGGAGACTTGAAGGATAGGATAAGGGTTATAGAAGAAAAAAAGAACGATAAGATAAAAGGACACGAGAGAAATGGAAGGATAAGAGTAGAAGAACTATAAGAGGGTAAGCAGAAAGGGAACTATAGGATAACAAAGTGTGGGGCATTCCAGGACTCGTATTGTAGAAGAAACACAAGTTGGATCAGTGTAGTAATGAGAGATTTTGATTAAGGAAAGGAAACGTGATCGGTTTGTTGCCTACAAAATGAAGGAAGGTTAAACTTCACAAAAATAAATATTTGATTCTCACTAACATACCAAATGAAACTACGCAGAACTCTCGTCAGTCAACAACAACAAAAAAACACGAAGATACATCTCTCAGAGCTGGGACGGATCTCTCTACACGCGTCAAATTGCTCTCACCCTAGCACTATACATTCTTTCTATAGATAACCAGCCACACATTGGATTGCAAGTGTCCGGATGTATCTCTGCTCCACGTGCCAAGTGGCTGTCGTAAAGTAGCTTCAATCTCAAGTACAATATGTCTATCTAATGAAATAACATATAGAAACATAACCGACTCATACCATGGAGAGTAACATCTAATACTGAATTAGCACATAATCTAGTCTGGAGTTATTAGGTTCAGAACAATTAAAATACATATACTACAGAAAAGAGGGATATGTAGTATATACTTACCACAAAGACGTCAGGGGTTAAAAGTAGGACAGGTTAGAAGGGTAATAGGATCAAAAACATAAGAAGAAATTAAAAATTTAAGATAAAAATGTAAGAGGGAGAAAAGAAGGCAAGTAAGGAAGAAGTGAGAGTGGCATAACAAAATATAAGCATTGAATAGAGAGCTGTAAGTACAGCAGAATATTATAAATAATAAAGTAATAAGTTAAGCAAGAATGCGACAAAATAAGGGATAACCACAAACAGTAAAGAGCAGAATAAAAACACATTTGAATAAAACAAAACAAGAACGGACAATACACGAAGAGTAGGGATAAACTAAAAATATATAACAAGCTAGCGAAGTTAACTAAGTCTAGATAATAGTACAGGAAACTATACGGTTTGAAAAGATAAGACAAAAAATGATAAATAAAACATGAAAGAAAATGATATGATAAAAACATATAACAAGCTAGCGAAGTTAACTAAGACTAGATAATAGTACAGGAAACTATACGGTTTGAAAAGATAAGACAAAAAATGATAAATAAAACATGAAAGAAAATGATATGATAAAAACGTATAAGTTTTGATCACACAAATTTTGAAACAGTCGCTATATCACAGAAATAAGAAATATAATTTTGTTTGTTTCTTTGTTGTTTTTCGCAAAGTTATTCGAGAGAGAATTATCTGCGTTAGTTGTCTCTGGTTTTCAACTGATAGACTAAAGAAAAGCCAGCTAGTCAACACCACTTATCGTCAACTGATAGGCTAAAGAAAGCCAGCTAGTCAACACCACTTATCGTCAACTGATAGCTAAAGAAAAGCCAGCTAGTCAACACCTCCTTTAGTCTATCAGTTGACGATAAGTAAGCCAGCTAGTCAACATCACTTATCGTCAACTGATAGGCTAAAGGAAAGCCAGCTAGTCAACATCACTTATCGCCAACTGATAGGCTAAAGCTAGTTAACACAACTTATCGTCAACTGATAGGCTAAAGATAGTCAACACCACTTATCGTCAATTCTTCACCAATGAATAGTAGTATTGACCGTCACATTAGGCCCCCAGTGAACAGCGGTATGTCTGTGAATTTACAACTCTAAAAACTTGGTTTTTTTTCAAACAAACAAACCGTCACAATAGACTGCCTCACGGCTCAAAGAATGAGCATGTCCGGTAAGGGGATTCGAACCCTCCAGCCATTAGATTGCGAGTCGAGGATCTTAACCATTAGGCTAAGAAAGATAATACCCTACATAATATATAAAAACAAGCTAAACATATCAATATTCACTATCATTGCATGACGAATCTCAAGTGATTTACTCTTAAACAACAAAATGATACTGTCGTTATGTTGTTGTAAGTTAAGTTGTTTTAAGTTACTTAAAAAATTAACCTAATCTACTTCTAGTAACAGCATTAATGTGGATGTACTGATTAAACAAGCGTGCTGGTGACGTCAAATAGAACATAACTAAACACGCTTACTAGTGACGTCACATAGAACACATCGGGTAAAAAAACGCTTTCTGGTGTCGTCACACAAAACTCACTGATTAAACACGCGTACTGGTGACTTTAAATAGAACTTACTGATTAAACACGCGTACTGGTGACGTGAAATAGAACTTACTGATTAAACACGCGTGCTGGTGACTTTAAATAGAACGTACTGATTAAACACGCGTGCTGGTGACTTTAAATAGAACGTACTGATTAAACACGCGTACTGGTGACTTCTTATAGTACCTACTGGTTAAAAACTCGTTCTGGTGATGTCACACATAACTTACTGATTAAACACGCGTACTGGTGACTTTAAATAGAACGTACTGATTAAACACGCGTACAGGTGACTTTAAATAGAACGTACTGATTAAACACGCGTACTGGTGACTTCATATAGAATATACTTGGTAAACACGCGTACTGGTGACGTGAAATAGAACGTACTGATTAAGCACGCATACTGGTGACGTCATGTAGAACATATCTGCTAAATACGCGTGCTGGTGACGTCACGTACAGTGCAGGAACTAGAAACGCTCAAAAGCTACGAGTCAAAGATAACTTTTACACTGTGGTAGAGCTGTCTGATCAAAGAAGACGCGGGGTGGTCTGTGTAAACAGTTTGTCTTCGTTGTTGATGAGAAATTGATGGAACATGATCTGCTACTCCTAGCGACTGCGATACAGTCACAACGTGTTGGACCGTAGAAACAGGCCGGCTGTTTAAAGAAAGTTTGTCTGTACCAAACAGTACAAAAACAACAGTCGTATTGTTGTATTTTCCTTTTGCTTTTGCTGTTGTTTTCGAAAGCCTTACATAAGTTTCATAACACCTTGACAAGGCATTCTATTGGCTCTTCGTCTTCTTCAAACTCTTTTAAACGCGCAAATAAGTGAATGCTACATGTATATGTATGATAATTATGAACGTATTCTCTCGTGCTTAAATCTTAATATTTCAAACCAAACCAACAACGTTAGCAGCAGAAGTGTGACTGTGTAGTAAGTGTTTAAAGAAATGGTTAGTTTAAACGGATATTTCCGAGGGATTGAACGTTGCATTAGGTAATATGAAAGTTTAGACAATAGTAAAAGTTATTCACTATTTCAGTCCAAAATGAATCAAGTCGCGATTACCGTGCCCATTGACGAGGTTCGTACTTCGTGGCCGGTGTCCATCGTTTGGCTGCTGTTGTCGTGTGTGGTCAGTATGCTTTGTACTATAAGTTCCGTCCAGCCTGAGTGGTATGTCCGAACTGATCCCGTAAATGACAATTATCTTCATTACGAACGAGATTCTATCCTTTATATGCTAGGCCTCATGAGTGTTTGTTACCGTTGTCGACAAACTTCGTGCCACAGTTTCGGCGGGAACTTCCCGTCCTCTTCCTGGCATATGGCTTTCGTTTTGTACATAGGCGGGTGTGTGTTGTCGGGGTGTTGTGTCCTAGTGATGGTGTTTAGTTTTTTTGCATTTGGAGAAAGGCGACGACAGAGTTTCACGGTTTACATTGGATATATACAGCTAACAGCAGGTGAGATTGTATATTTTACATCTTTATATTACCTATTATCCTGCCTTTTTATATATGATATTGTTCTCTGCATCGTTAAAGAAAGACAGTTAAATATGTTTTCTTCAACTGCTATTGGTGTATATGTAGTTTAGTGTTGACGAATGAATTGTGGGATATTATTAAACTTTTACATTAATTGTATAACACTGTTTGGAAATGATATAGTTGATATACAAAACTTTGGAAATGATATAGCTGATACACAAAACTTTGGAAATGATACAGTTGATATACACAATTACGGAAATGATACAGTTGATATGCACAGTTATGGAAATGATACAGTTGATATACACAATTATGGAAATGATACAGTTGATATACACAATTATGGAAATGATGTAGTTGATATACACAATTATGGAAATGATACAGTTGATATACACAATTATAGAAATGATACAGTTGATATACACAATTATGGAAATGATTACAGTTGATATATACAATTATGGAAATGATACAATTGATATACACAGTTATGGAAATGAGGTTATGTTTTCACCCCTGTGTGTGTTTGTCAGCAAGATTTCTCGAAAACGGCTAAATGAATTTGGACAAAAGTTGATATACATTTGGACTATGACCCACCTTAGAAGCTATTAGTTTTTGGAGTGTCAAGGTCACCGCAAGATTACGAAAATCCAAAACAAATCCCTATCTATTTCACACTGTTTTTGCTCTATAACTCAGTCAAAAATGATCGGATTTTGATGAAACTTGGTGG